CTGACATCTATAGCTTTGGGATTTTAATGTCAGAAACATCAACACATCAACAACCATTCAAAGATCAACCACATGATATACAGTAGGGATCAAAAGTTTTTGGAAATTTTTCGCGTGATGTTGATCTTGTACTATAACTTGTACAATTTACAAATTTAAATTAAAACACGTACAATAAACCCTTGTGCTCCCTAGAAAAAAATTCTTTTCCCACTGAAACATTTTTATAATATTTTTATTCAAATATGCCTCAAAAAACTAGTGTCATGACAAAAAGTAAGCAACGAGATGTAATTTTACATTTTTAGTGCGAAGGGATACGTAATGCAAACGAAATTCATCGTCATACAAACATTGGACTTTCTACTATCTATTATAATTTAAAAAAGTTGGAGAAAACAGGTGATGTTGCTTGCAAACCAGTTTCAGGGCGGCCAAGGAAAATCACCGGTTCCGCAGTAAATGTTATTGGACAACAAATTCGACGAAATCCTCAAATAACAAGGAAAGGTTTGGTTCAAAAATTAGAAGAAAAGGGTATAAAAGTTTCAAAAGATACAGTTGGAAGGCATCTTCAGCGTCAGGGTTATAAAAATGCCCTCCCTATCGCGACCCCTATGCTTACAGCAGAACATAAAAAAAAAACGGGTTGAATGGGCAAAAAAACATATTGATGATGATTGGTCACGAACCGTATTCTCTGACGAGACTTCATTTCAACTGTTCCAAAATACCATTACACAATGGTACAAGTACTAAAGGCCAATTCGTCCTTTTCCTAAAAATCGACAAAAAATTCATGCCTGGGGTGGATTTTCGAGTTGTGTCAAAACCAGTTTGTATTGCTTTACTGGTATAATGAATGCAGAATTTTTCATTCAAATTCTTGAGGAACAACTTCCTGAAATAAATGAAGTAATGGGTGATGATTGGAGGCTTCAAATGGATAATGATCCTAAGCATAAAAGTCATTTAGCAAAAGATTTCCTACAAAAAAATGTGCCTGAAGTAATGGACTGGCCATCAAACAGTCCGGATCTAAATCCTATTGAAAACTTGTGGGGGTTAGTCAAAAGAAATGTAGAAAAGAGAAAACCACGCAATTTGGATGATTTGGAGGAGTTTATGATTGAAGAATGGGACTTAATTTCTGATGAAATTATAAATAATTTGGTAAATTCGATGAGGAAAAGATGTGAAGAGGTTATTAAAGTAAATGGTGAACGAATTAAATTTTAATTGTATATAATTTAAACTTTTATTATTATATTTTTAAATAAAAAAAATTATTTGCTGATACAATAATTATTTGCTGATACAATAATTATTTGCTGAGTAATATCACATAAAACTTTTCCAAAAACTTTTGATCCCTACTGTAGATCTTGCTTTCAAGATCTGTGGTGGCTTAAGGCCTAGTTTTTCAGATAATACTCCAGAATGTTATATTAAGTTA